ACCTCCACACACACACACACACACACACACACTCCCACCCCCTCTGCCCCAGCCCGCACCCTGAACTCCTCACTTCTGGCCCCACCCCGGAGCCCGCACCCCCAGCCAGAGCCCTCTCCCCATCCCACACCCCAACCCCAATTTCATAAGCATTCATGGCCTGCCATACAATTTCTATACTCAGATGTGGCCCTCGGGCCAAAAAGTTTGCTCACCCCTGATCTATACTGAATCACATTTGTAATCTAGGAAATGTTCCTGTCTTCTCAGCCTTGGCAACCTGCCAGTCTACAAAGAAAACAACCTCTCCCTGAAAGAAGTAAATGTACAGAAAACATACCAAAACCCCAGAACTGACTCATCTTTGGAGACCAGATTACACAGACAGAGAGGAGCAAACTGATACGGAACTAGGACTGAGAAGTGTTTTGTGCTTTCCCTGCCCAGGAAGCCTATGGAAACTACCCTGCACAAACCATAAAAGAATCACGCTCTGCCTGTTTTAAAGGCTGGAGAGGAAACCAGAGCAGAACTGAGAAGCAGCTGCTCTATGTGGCATGCTCCCTTTAGAACTTGGTGCCTTTGCCAGCTAGAAAGCAGGGGCTGGACAGTTGTTGGGAATAGGAGTGAGCAATTAAGTCAATGGAAACAATGCTTTTCAGTAAATCTTGCAGTCAACAGCAAGAGGAACTTATCACAGCAGCAGCAGAGGCAAAGGCAAACTTTAAATTCAAAACTAAACTCCGAATTACTCGTGCCTACATCCTTTCCACTCCCTGAAAATTCCTCACCACCCTATTATCCAGCTCCTGCAAAATTCTCAAATTACTTACTACCCCATTCAGCATTTGCAATATTGCAATCAACCCTGCCCAGATTTATGCTGGGACACGGGGAACTCTTCAATGCCTTGTCTTCACTGAGGAGTTCTCAATTTGAGGTAAAATCCTAATAAAGACAAGGCAGATTGTAGTTTTCACACAAGCCACTCAACCTGCTAACTTGGGTCAAAAATACAAACTACGCTGTCTTCACTAGGATTTTACCAAGAGTTAGCTAACTTGAGTTAAGAGCACATCTTCATTTCCTAGTGAAGATGAGGCCCCAAGGGGTACTCATACATACTACAAAATACTTTCTAGGGATATGTCTACACTGCAACGTAAGCCCAGAATCAGTGGAACTTGAGTTCAGAGTCCCTTGATTTGTTGACCTACAGCAGGGGTCGGCAACCTCTGGCACGCAGCTCGCCAGGGTGCCAGAAGTTGACCTACGGCAGGGGGCGGCAGGAAGTGGCGCGGGCCGAGGGATGTGCTGGCCGCGGCTTCCCACCGTCCCCAGTGGCCTGGAACAGCAAACCGCAGCCAGTGGGAGCCGCGATCGGCCGAACCTGCCAACGCGGCAGATAAACTGGCCTGGCCCATTGGGGTGCTTACCCTGGCGAGCTGCGTGCCAGAGGTTGCCAACCCCTGACCTACGGCTTGAGTGTCTACACTCATTTGTAACCCTAGCTTAGGAATTGTTGAACCCTGGGTCCCAATTGGGCATCAGCATCTACACTGCATTATGTGAGCCCAATTCCAAAGACCCATATTCCAGACTTTCTAGTGCCCTCCCAAAATGTGACTGCTCTAGCCCTTTGTTCACTGCACACATAGTGCAGTGTGGGAAAACTTGTGTTCAACAAACTTGACTGTTCAGAGGACAAAGAAAGTTGGCAGTGGGACTGTGGGAAGCTTTTGGCAGACTCCCAGAACACAAGTTCAGTGGGGCTACATCTACATTGCAAAGCAACAGGACCTGAATCCCTGGTCCCAGCTTAACTTAAATTCGGACCCTTCACCACCATGGGGTCCTGGGACCCTGTGTCCAAGTCTTGGGTTAGCATGATTTGTATGAAGATGGAAGGGGAGTTAGGCTTGAACCGGAGTTTGAACCTTGGACTTACTCTGAAGTGTAGACATACCCTAGAGGTGACCCACTCTGACGGATTTCCCTAGCAAGCACCACATCTTCTTGGGGAATGGCCAATGAGTTCACTGGGCAACAATGAGATTCTTCTGGGGAGACTAACCAGAAGTCCTTCATTTGCACAAGGAGGGCCCCATCTCCCACACCTAATCTCTTAGGCTAGGTCTACACTACCCGCCTGAATCGGCGGGTAGAAATCGATCTCTCGGGGATCGAATTATCGCATCTCGTCCGGACGCGACAATCGATCCCCGAATCGACACTCTTACTCCACCAGCGGAGGTGGGAGTAAGCGCCATCGACGGGGAGCTGCGGAGGTCGATTTTGCTGCCATCCTCACAGCGGGGTAAGTCAGCTCCGATACGTAGCTGAATTTGCGTATCTTAAATCGATCCCCCCCTATAGCGAAGACCTGCCCTTAGAGTGCTCTGTGATGGCTGAAGTAATAACGTCCCTGCATCTCACATATTTTTGTGCATATGCAAATCTAATCCCTGCTGTAAGGTTTGAGTTGTAAACACCAGAAGATAACTTTTGTCCATTTTAAAAACAAATATTAAAATAAATTATTAACAATAAAAACAATTTATTTCTTTTTAAAGGATAGGAAATTACATCCTAAACAATAAAATCTAAATTTGGCCCACATAGATTTACAAAACATTTTTTTTAAAAGGAAAATAAATCCATGTTTGTAAGGCCATGGGTTAAGGCTACATTTATGTCATGGAAGTCATGGAATCCAGGACTTCCAGAAACCTCCGTGACATGCGGGACTCTGGAGCTGGCAGCCATCGGGGCCCTGGCAGGGGTACAGTGACAGGGTGTCCCCTGCAAGGTTCCAGTGACAGGTGACAGACTCCTGAGGGGGCCCTTCTCAGGGTTCCAGCAACAGGCAACAGCCTCGCAGAAGGGGAGAGGAACCCTTGGGTGAGCGGCTGGGGATGCCCCGTTTTCTCTTTGGGAAATATGGTCACTCTGCAGCTCCCACCTGCCGTGAGTGGAGGGGGGCCCCCCTGCATCTTCCATGGTCAGAGGGGAAACCCCACAGCTCCCAGCCACTACAGTGGTGGGGGAAACCATGGAGCCACAGCAGCAAAAGTCACAGACAGGTCACAGCTTCTGTGAATTTTTGTTTATTGCTTATGACTTTTACTAAAAATAACCATGACAAAATCTTAGCCTTAGCCACAATAAATAGTTTTATGACTATTAATATAGAACAAGTTATAAAAATACAATATTTTCCTTGACTTTTCACAAGCAATTTAATGAATGTCTGTCTTCAAATTCAACTGCTCAACACAGCCCCCTGTAAAGTCAATGAAGGAGCTACTATTGACTTCAATGGGCGCAGGATCAGACCTCAAGAGACTGGGGGGTTTTGATGATCAAAACAGTGTTGCATACATACCTGAATATCCTGACAATATTGGTACATATATCCTTATCATTCATACGCTGCTCCAGCACCACCCAGAGCGCTGAAACTGCACCACTACACAGGAGCTGGCATCTTGAAAGAGGTAAATCAACCAAGTTTCGCAAAGTAGCTGTCAGCTGTAGAGAGAATATATAGTTGCCTATTATGAATTCCATGTGCTTTTGAAAATTTAAGTAAGTTCACGTCACCTAAACCATCTTGGGAATTGGCACTCTGATAACAATAAAGCGGTTAGGACTTCTACAAGCATGTATGGAGTAGGCATCAGAGATTAGGTGGTGTATGACATTAAGTTACATAGATTAAAATAAATGTTTTTAAAAAAGATCAATATTGGTCTTGTGCCTCTCATGCAACTTTTTTCTTTTAAAGGCTAGATTATCCACTGTGGGTGCAAGGGGGGAGTGGGGACATGCCATTGACCCCCTCCTACATAACTTAGTAGTGCTGGTTAGTCTTAGAAGGGAGTGCATGCCACACAGTGCTGTATAGCAGTGGTCATTTATTTTTCACACTGGAGGGTTCTCAGGGCCTTTGTACAATGCTTCTCAGAGCTCCCACTGGAGTGATGAGGCTCAACACTGCCCCATACTTGAGCTTGTGCCCCACACAAGCGTGTTCCCATAAAGAACAACAGACCCCTTAATGTTTAATCCCATTTTAAGTCAGGCACTTAGCATTATTAGCTTGTGATATTTTCTGCATTATTTAATAATCAACATTCTTAATGTCATTTTATCATGATTTTTTACAATCTCTTGGCCAAATCTTGCTTGCCTCACTCACTGTACATACCAGAATAATTTCATACTCCAATAAAATGCAGCCAATTTGAACGAAATGCAGCAATCACTTAAGAAATGCACACTAAGACTACATGACAGGTTAGGACAGGAAGTGGGATTTTAGGCAACACACAATTACTCAGACTGTAATTTAGCCTTATTGTATGTTTTCCCTGGAAGTCCGCCTTATAAAGTACTGAACTTGTCTACTCTGGCTTAAAAATGAGATAACTGAGAAAAAACACAGTCCAAGGAGGTACTGTAACAAATAACATTCCCCCTAAAAAAAGGTTTTAAAAATTTGCATGCACACACACTGATACAAACGGTTTTAAGCCTGAGCCAAAGTTGCCTATTTGATACATATGTACCCTACTTATGGATACTTTACATATTTATTAGACACAGAATTTATGATGTATTGTGGAAATCCACATCTGGATCTTCTGGAGGTGTCCTATTTGATCAAGAGCAAATTAATATAGCCCCCAGTCAATACGTAATTATATTTTGGTAGCAACTGCATGCAACAGTTTTAGCAGCAAATTAAAATGAATTGGTGAACAGTAAATTAAAAAAAACACAATCTGTTTGATGTAAAGATTAAAGAGTTAAAATGTAAGAGGCAGGACACAATCTGCATCCAAAAGCACAAAAGCCAAACACAGTCTGGGTCTTCAGTTTATGGGAGAAGCCAAAATATTTTCAGGTGATACAAATCTATTTTTAAGAGCTTAGATCATAAAATACTATACAGTTTCTAGCAATGAAAATAGAGCGAACTGATCTTCGTCTGATTCTCTTCTGAGATAAGAGTATTAAAATACTAGGGCCATATAGGCGACTATGCATAATTGTTTATTTGAATAGAGATGTACTGCAAATTTCAAATTCAGGTCATTAATACTAAAGCAAATACAGGAAGAAATCATCAGATTTTCCTTATTCTAAAATGAATTTTTAAAGTTGCATATAGGCTAAAAAGACACAAAGACTATCTATTTAACATGGTTTCAGTCAGCAAATCTCTAGACATAGAATACCTTCTCATTAAACGGAACAGTCTGTTCAGCAATATGAACTATATACTTTATGGAAAAATAAAGAAAACAGGATAAGCAGTTGTCTGAGCAGCTTCTACCTACTGAATTGTTTTAAACAAACATTTTATTGTCATATCAAATCAAATCGGATTTTATGCTGCTACCAAAGAGAATAAAAGCTATAAACCTTCATAACACACACAACCGTTGCACTCACAGTGTGTACTCTTCAGTGAATCTTATTATTTAAAGAAAAAAGAAAAGGAAAAACTTTCAATGTATAACATGCTGATGCCATGTTTAGAGTCAGTTTTAGAAAAGAACTAACCTCTGAGAAAACACATTTATGCAGAATTAAAAAATTCTTAATAAAGCACTGCATATATAGTGGTAGTACATAGCAGTATTGGTGAACACTAATGTAATTGTGTAGAAAGGGTTTAAACTTCTACCTGGTCACAGATTTACTAGTTGAATGTGACCTTGGGCAAGTCACTTAATGTCTCTATACCTCAATTTCCCTATCTGTAAAATTAAGTTTAATAATACTTCCCTGCCTCCTTGGGGGACTTGTGAATATAATTTATTATTATAATTATAATAAACACCTAATAGACCAAATTTGGATCTAACTTACTATTTGCATACTACCATAAAGCCAAAATCTGCTCTCATTTACTGTGGGGTAAAACAGTTATGTCTCAGAGAAAGTTACCCTGGATTTACCCCAGTAACATAATAGAGTTCGGCACTGCCTACATATACTGGTAGCAGTCAATTCAAATGGAAAAATTATACAGAATGTTATTCCTCTCAAGTTATTATAGTCTTACCATTTATCTTAGATTTTGGAACAATTCTTCCACATTTCTAATGCTATTTTCCCTCAGCATTACTAATTCCTGGTTTTAGTTACGATCATAGGAACAATAAGATAATTGCTTTTGTTGCCTCTACTGAGTCTGTGAAATTTATTCAAATAGTAGCGAGTTCAATTCAAAGTACTGTATTCAAATTTTACACTGTGCTCTGGACATTTTAAGAAATACAAATGTGCTTATCACAGCTCTTGATTTGCTCCTGACATATGTTTGGAAGTTCATCACTGTTCTTCGCTTTTATTATTCCTGTTCTTTCTCCAGATTGTGAGCAGAGATCGCTAAACATCTTATACAAGTTTCTTGGCCGAATCATCTGCCATTCTGTGGCCTTCCTTGTCTTTGACCCATTTTCTGATTATCTTTTCTGATACATTTTTTGTCATTTTTCTTTGAGTGAATTACATTTTCAGTTTTTATTTCCTGCAATATTCATTCCTTAAATAGTTTCCTTAGATTAACCTTTACATCCCACATTTCTTCCAGTTTTCTTTTTAAAAAAGTAAATAAGGCATGATCAAAAAGAAAAAAAAATATGCAGTGTAAAAAAGATACTATGATATTGCATATAAAATACAAGGAAAGGTCACAGGGTACAAATGCATCTCAAGATGCTTTACAACAAAACAACCTAAACAGAGGGAAACCAATTAAAGGAATGTTACAGAGGGAAGAATTGAGTGTAGATTTAAAAGGGTTTATATTTCAGAATCATGAGGTTCACACCAAATTCTGAGTGAAAACTAATTGTAGTATGGGATCCATCAGCTTTTATCCCATATTTTGGAAAACCCAATGATACCAAGCAATTAATGGTGCTGTACTGAGAAAACTCATATACACCGGTTTCAAATTAAGCACTCCTTCATAAATCATGACATTTCGAACTAAACGCAGTACTGAACAAATTACTTGAAAATAAAACAAAATACTGAGTCAATTAAGTGTGAATTAAAATTCTGGTGGCAGAATTCACACTGAATGGTTTCTGTGCAAAGTTCTCAAGCATGCCACCAAATAAAGTGCTATAGCTTAGGGGTTGTTTAAACAAAACAAACAAAACAAAAAAACCCACAACTCCAACACACAGACAAATCCAGGACCAATCTAGGATAACATCCACTGAATTCTAGTTATACTTCATAGATGAGAAAAGGAAGTATAAGCCACAGAAAGAGAAGGGTCCTTACCTAGCCAAAGACTCTTACACATAACCAACAAAGGCTCAGCATCATTGGATAATATGCAACGCATTGTGCAACAGTCTTCAGAGAGAGATACTCTCTAACAATTCTGTCTTGGTGAATCATTTTAGGAAATGCTGTTCACCCAGGAGTGAACTCCATCAAGGCAGGACTACAAGTCCAAGACAACTAGAAAGTGGTCAGCAAAAAAAGCCAAGTAAAACTGAGTATGCATATAACTGTCACACCTGATGGAATTTAGTAATAATTGGAAACATATATGCCTAGAAAAATAAACCAAACTGTTCCCTATGAAATCTGTTAACCTACATTACAAAGAGTTGAAGATTGCAAATTAAATGTCTCAGTTGAGAAGTGGCTACCCAGAGGTAACACAGGCAATGGAAGAAATGCTATAAATATTTCACAAATATATGATTTATGCAGGGGTGCATACAATTTGGCTTCACAAATCATAAGAATGTAGTGCCTGCTTGCCACTTTCCTCAACCTGGCAAGTGAGACAAAGCTGATAAACTGCAGATTTTCAGTAACGGTGAACTCACACTGAAACATATACTATGAATTTATGAAGGGAAAAAACAAGCACTTCTGTAAATGTTTTTCATTCAAAAAATCTTGGGAGTATTTACATATTTTAATTAGTAAAACCTCACAATACCTAGATGAGGTAAGTAGTAGCATATCTATTTTATACAACGGAGCAATAGGTAGAGTAAGAATAGGTCAGCTGGGTCAGAAGTTATCTTAAGTCACAGACCTCTGCTATAACCACTACATAAAATTCCCAAAGTACAAGTAAATATTATGGTTACAGGCATTTTATAAAATTATATTTTGAGCTTCAGTCAAAGGACCATTGCAGAATAAAGCAAATTTCTTCAAAGACTAAAACTTTTTTGCATGCTAAAAAGAAAAAAAATCCTGTGTATGAAGACTATGTATATAATAGCATCATTTGGTGACATACCATAACACAGTCAGTGCGAGAGAATCTGGCTTCATAAATCCACATATTTAAGTCACCAGCTAACAAAGTGCAGTCACTAGCCACACTGATCATTGTGGGTAATTTGATGCATTTCCCTTCTATCGCCTCTAGTTCACTGTGGACTTCACCAGATTCTGTACTTCTGAAAGGACTTCTCACTGCACCTACAATGTTTGTATCTATCATTGAATATTTGGTTTACCGCTACATCCATTGCTGCAAGCACTTAATGTCATTTATTATTCTCTGGGTGTGCATCATAGGAAAAGAATTCTGTATTGTCAGTGCCTGAAAACACGGACAAGCTTACAGACAATATTTCTCTATGACTACTGAGTAATTCATTCCAACTCAGAATCAGAAATCACATATTTTAATGCATCGAGAACAGTGATGTAAGCAAATCATGTAGGGAATGCTAATAGCAGAAAAAATTACATTTCTAAGGGGGAAAAAATAAAGTAGCTTTACCATTCCAAAATATTCAGAGGCTTGCTCTACCTCCCCCCTCCCAAAAAACAATGCCAGTTGAAGTTATTGGATGGTTCTGGGAACTGGTACATCATTCTTTATTTCCTCATCTTTTGCAATTTCTCTCCAAATCTAGCCCTCCTTTCATACTCATAAATGGTTATCCAAGATCACAGGATCTAAACTGGGAACAGAAATCATTCTGACTCCCAGCCTCCTACCAAACTGCCTTTTCGGATGGTATAGTTACTAATTTGCAAATAAATTTAAAAATATTATGTAAAAAGTTAAACAAAAAAGTAAGCTTTAGTTTTACACATAAGACTGGCTGATTTTGTTGTTAATAAAGGCACTTGACAAAGATAATATATATATGCGGTAGATTCATTGAGAACCAGTGGTGCTGGAAATTTTAATAGTGGGGGTGCTGAAAGCCAGCCCCCTCCTATTGTCCACCCCCCACACCCCAGAGCTGGGGCTGGAAGCAGAGCCATGTCTCCAAAAGGGGGGACACAGACAAGGGTAATGGGGTGGAGGCTGGGGCCACAGCTGGTCAGGCAGGGGCCGGGAGCACAGGGTTAGATGTTTAATTGCAGTAATTCTTACTCACATCCATAGTATTATCTGCTTGCTGTATTTGGGGTGGGAAAACCAGGACATATTGGTAGGACCTTTGGAGTATTTTCACCTTTCAAAAGAAGATTAACCAGAGATCATAAGATCAATTTCCTGCCATTACAAGAAGACGACTCTGGTCATTTGCACTTGTTAGTTTATCTAAAAACCCTGTAAGACAGGATCCCATAAACTTCACCAGTAAGTAATATATCTGACTTGACAATATGTGTGTGTGTGTGTATATAATATAACATATAATGGATCCAGTAGAGTCGGCAGAAGAGCCCCGGGCATGGGGCAGCAGCCCGGAGGGACCCCAGGCGCGGGGCTGGCAGGTGGGACCCCAGCTGCACCGGGATGGCGGCAGCCAGGATCCCAGGAACGTGGGGCGGCAGCGGAGTTTAATTGTTAACGGAAACCGATAAGCATCAAGCTTATCGGTTAACCAGTTAAACTTTTATATCTCTAGATCTAACCCCTGGTGTCGACAGGGCCGGCTCTAGGCACCAGCAAAACAAATGTGTCCCGGCCGCCCTAGCTCACCTCCGCTGCTGCTGCCACGGCGCATGAAACAGCTGATTCGCGCGCCGCTGCTCCCCCTCCCTCCCAGGCCTGGGAGGGAGGGGGAGACTCCAAGTGGCCGCGGCGCGGGCACCGCTTCTCCCTCTCCCTCCCTCCTAGGCTTGAGAGCCTGGGGGGAGGAGGCAGGGCTGGGGATTTGGGGAAGGGGTGGAGTTGAGGTGGGGCTGGGAGTGGGGTAATTAAAGAATGGGGCGGGGGGCGGCCAAAATTGTTTTTGCTTTGGGCGGCAAAAATCCTAGAGCCGGCCCTGGGTGTAGATACAGCTAGGTCAACAGAAAGTTTTCATTGATCTAGCTTAGGAAGTTGGAGTTCCTACAGCGACGGACAAAACTTTTGTCACTGCAGTTCTGCCTCTACAATATGGCTCACAGTGGCACAGATATACTGTTGTAGCTATACTACTATACAGCCTGTAGCACAGACCTGGGCTGTCCACACATGAGTTTCATGCAGTTTAACTAATTCATTTTAAATTCACAACTTTAGTTAATTCAGATTAATTTTCCTGAGTGTCCCTGTGTAAACAAACCATTAGTCTAAACCAGCAGTTCTCAAACTGGGGTCCACGGACACCAGGTATTCCAGGGGGTCTGCAAGTCATGTCTGGGACCGCTGGCCCCACTGATCAACTCTTCCCACTCCCCTCCCAGTGCCTTCTGCATGCTGCAGAACAGCTGTTCAGCGGCATGCAGGAGGTGCTGGGAGGGAAGGGGAGGAGTGGGGATGGGACACACTAGGGGGAGGGGATGGAAAGACGCGGGGAAGAGGAGCAGGAGCAGAGGCAGGGCCTGGAGCTGAGCAGGGGATGAGCACCCTCGGGGAAAATTAGAAGCCAACTTGGGGGTCTGAAAAAAATTTAAAATCAAAATGTGGGTCCTTGGGTTGCTAAAGTTTGAGAACCGCTGATCTAAACTATTTAATTCAGGGTTAAATTTAGTAGCCACACTGATTTTTCAATTAAAATTGCCAAGCTATTCACTGTTCAGATACAAACTATGTGCATTATTCCATAAATCTATAAGATTCATCCATGTGTATGGTCCCATTGAAATAAATAGCTTTCATTGTTACATATTACTGATCATACCATACATATTTTTGACTATGTCATCAGTCTTGTCATACACTTGCAGCAAATGTGAAGCAACTGTTTGTTAAATATGTAGAAAATAGTCTACCACTTAATATAATAAATTTTTCATAAGTGTATCATTTCACTTATTAATAAGGTGACGAAGTTTAGCTCAATATATGTGTGTTTCCAGAGCGAATACAATTTACCTTTTTCTAAACTAAATGTTATTTACTAGAAAGAAATACGAGCAGCCAAAACATGGACAACTCCTCAACAACAATGTATGCATGGTGAAAGGGAGGGAAGTAATTATGCAAAAAACAGATCAAGCTATGAACACGTATTTTATCTGCTAAATCTACTAGACTGAGGTTGGAGCACTCCTATTCCTCTACAGCAGTGGTTCCCAAACTGGGGTTCATAAAATGTTACAGGGGGTTCTTGGGAAAAAATTCCCTAATGGCGGACAGAGCTGTCCTTAGGGATCCCTGGCAGCACGGGACCAGCAGCCTGGAGCCCCTGGACTTCCAAGAGCTAAGCAGATCAAAGCAAGCCTATCTATCACACTGAGGAAATTTAAACTTCAAGACTCATAAGAAATGGAAAGGGAGGTGGACTTTTTTTGCTCTTTTTAAAATTAAATAGGCAGCTAGTATTGTTTTTAAAATTATTATGAAGAACAAGTTTAAGCTTTGTTGTAACGTGCGTAGTTTGCCTGGACTGCTCAAGACCTGAATGCTTGTGTAGGAGGAACTCTGAGTTGGCTTCTTAAATACCTTCATGCTGTTTTACATCTGATACTCCTTGATGAAACATAGGAGCCTTGTCTTATAACAGGCTTATTCAAAGTGATACAAACTACGAAAGTGAGATCTTGGAAGAGTGTTGCCGTTTTTATAATGTAATAAAAATATTGTAATGATAAATAATAATTAATAATAGTGTATAATAAGCATGTCAAAAACAAATTTTATATTTCCAAAATCACTGCTTTTATCATTTATACTCACGTAAAGGAGAAAATCCCTGGAAATATTCATTTTGGGGGAGGGGGGGTTCATGAGAATTGACATTTTAGTGAAAGGGGTTCACAGATTGTTAAAGTTTGGGAACCACTGCTCTACAGCAAAGAACCTGTTTTGATGGTCATCACTAGCCATTGGAACATGATAGAGTCCTGCCTTTCCAACACACCATTTGTCAGTTGATTGATTGGATATTATAAGTATCTTTTGTCTCCTTAAAACACATTGCTTCTTTAGAGTATACAAACATTAACTTGCCAAGCAAAGATGTGGTATTATATTCTTCTCCTCCCTTTCTTTTTTTTTTAAATGCACTGTTTTGTGGTAATAGCTTTTTCTGTTCTCCTGGGCCATTATGGGGTTGATTTGTATTGACTGTCTATTCTGGTTGTAAGCAACACAGTTTTGGCATTACATTCTGCACACCGTGAGCACTCAAGAAGCAATTATAAAATGTTTTTTAAAACCCTTTTAAAAAAAAATTACACAAAACAAAGGTACTCCACAAACCTAAATTTTGGCCACGAACAACTTCATGACAATGCCGTTTTTCAATGAAGTCTACACATACTTAGGACCAATTTTTCTTTTATGTTAACAGGCACAACTTAGCTGCTTTAATTTAATTTTAATTTGGTCATTGGAGTTTGTATTTATATTTTTAAAATAAAAATAGATGCTGACCTGGACTAATAGGTGGCCCAAGTTGGAGAAACATGTGTCATTTTCTTTAATATTATTAATCTGCTTCATTAACTGAAAGAATATTTCAACAGCTCCTTTGTTAACCAGTTCATTAAGGAGTACTGCATTTCCAGAAATGAATTTTATTGCTCCCAAGCAATAGAGAAAAGCCTCATTGTTTGTTTGTAGATCTTCAAATCTCAGGATCTCCAACAAAGAATCTAAAAAAGAATATTAGTGTTTAGAAAGACTGACATTTATATTTGAACTACTTCAGACTTAAAAAGATTAACTGCAAAAGAAAACTGGGGTTACAGTGTTTATCATACTTTTCTCATCAATGGATGGGACAAACAAAGTATTTGGATATAAATCAGGGCTAATTATTGAAATATAAGACATGTATACAAGCTTTGTAGGCACCGTGGTCATCATTAAAATCCTTGGCCAAGATTTGCAAAAACAATTACTGATTTTATTTGCCTCAATTCTTGAATGCTCAACTTGAGACACCTTTAAAAGGGCCTGATTTTCAGAGAGCATATGCTCAGAACTTTCTGAAAATAAGGCCTCTTTAAGATGGCCACCCAAAAACTGAGGCACCTAAAAATCAATGACTTTTTATTGCAGTGTTCCCTATACACCAGCATTATCAGTAATGTCAGCATAGGCGTGAGCTTAAATTTGCTAGCTAACTGCTGGTGAAGAGACAATAGGAGGAGTAAATGTGCCCAAAATATCATTTTCATCTTGCATTATTTCCTCCATATCTCCCAGTCAAAACTAAGTAAACAGAATTTTGAGGATATTTCTTACTTATTAAACAAACGTGAGGTCAGTTTTTGAACCTTTAATTTCTAGATAACTGGATCAGTTAAAAAGAAACTAACATTAATTTCTGTTTCCAGTCATTTTCAGCATTTTGGTGAAAAGTCAGCTGTTTGTTTTACTAATTCCTGTCGATATTCTGCATGCCAGTAAAACATTTAATAAACAAACAAATAAATCACTGAAACAATAGGAAAAAAAAAACTTTCCAAAGCATTCTTATGTCTTATATCAGCCATTCCTCCATCCACAAATCAATCCAAAGCTATAAACCTTTCCAGCAAAAAACCAAACCAAAACAAAACAAAAAAACCCCCACATTTTTTAACTAAGTAATGAAGAAAGCCATGGGAAGATGGGACCAAAAACTAAACAATGATGCTGACATAGATACGCTTTATCTGTCTATCCTTACTGAATTAAGTTTTAAGTATTTTAGGAGTTCAATAGTACATAAGCATTTGCCTTTTTGATACAATGAATGACTGTATGTATTTCCGTGAGGAAGGGGAATCACAGCCCTCCAGAAACTAAGAAGAGTGAAGTGGGGGGAGGGGAAGAGGGGGAAGGCAAATTCACTCAGAGTGTAACTTCCACAGAGCTACCATCACCACGTATACTGATTCAAATTGGATTTTCCAGGGAACAACAGACAAGGAAAGGATTTTTGGTTAAATAGCCTCACTTAATGTCTCAGGGCCTTCTTTCTAATCCAGCAATCTGGCAGAACCTCTGGTCTGGTGGGGCCCAATCCTCAGGAAAGCATTGGATGGTCTTTGGCCCACTGATGCCCCATCAGAATTGGGTTCTTGGGAGGCTGTGATAAACTTGTACCCATAGGAAAAAAACACCTTGTATGGGCTTTTAAGAACTAATCACCAAACAGAGCCCTTTTTGGAGTGAGGGGGTGATCTCTGGTATGCTTATTGTTTTAATATGTTTTCTCTGTAATGCTTTTAAAAGTGCTTGCTTAGAAAGAACTGCGTGATAACTTATAAAACTGCTGGCAAGGAGAGAAGTGAAGCAGAGCTACTTAGGCAGACAGTCTTTGCTGGGGACACCACAGTACAGTCAGGGAACTGTTCAGCCTGGAAATAACCCAGTCAGAAAGGGAGGAGACATTGCTGGGGAGATGGAAGCCTAGAGCGAGTGCCCTTGCTGGACCACACAGAGGGGGAATATAGGTGCAACTACCCTGAACTAAGACACCTTGTGTCTGAACTCTACTGAGTTCCTTGTGGAGTTTTCCTTCCCCGGACCCTTCTCCCATAGGTCTTACAATTGGAAGGGATGATCTGGCCAATCCTGCAAACACACATGCTTAACTTTAAAGAGATGAACAGTCCCATTTACTCCAATGGGAATACTCATTCGTTAAGTTAAGCATGTGTGTGACGTGTTTGAAGGGCCTAAGTCAGGGGTGGGCAAACTTTTTGGCCTGAGGGCCGCATCGGGTTTTGTAAATTGTATGGAGGGACGGTTAGGGGAGGGGGTCGTGGCCTGGCCCCCACCTCCTATCTGCCCCCCCAGGACTCCTGCCCATCCAACCCCCTCTGCTTCCTGACAGTCCCCCCGGGACCTCTGCCCCATCCACACACCCCCGCTCCCTGTCCCCTGACCAGCCCCGGACACCCACCGCCCCGTCCAACCCCTCCTCTCATTCCTGATGGCCCCCCCGGGACCCCTGCCCCATCCAACTCCCTGTTCTCCCCCTGACCCCTATCCACACCCCCGCCCCCAACCACCACCCCTACCCTCTATCCAACGCCCCGCCCCCCCCGCTCCCTGTCCCCTTACCGTGCTGGCTGGAGCCGGGCCACGCCACCACCACCACCACCACCACGCAGCACAGAGACCGGGTCAGGCCGGGCACTGCAGCTGCGCTGCCCCAGGAGCTCACAGCCCCACCGCCCAGAGCACTGCGCCGACGGTAGAGCAAGCAAGCTGAGGCTGCAGGGGAGGGGAAACAGTGGGGGATGAGCCGGGGCTAGCCTCTCGGGCCAGGAGCTTGGGGGCTGGCCAGGACAGTCCCACGGGCCGGGCAGGACAGTCCTGCGGGCCGGATTTGGCCGCAGGCCGTAGTTTGCCCACCTCTTGCTTAAGTTAATAAGATATGTAAAAGTTTTACTGAAAACAAGAAATTAAAAACAGGATTGCACATCACTCCCACGCTTGTCCATCATGTCCATAATGCTCACATTTTTAGAATACAGTTACAGCTAGTGTCAGCTGTCATAATTTTTCTAAAACATTTGAAGGACAAGCATTTTTACTACTGTATTTCAACATTTATTTTAGTATATATAAAAATGAATACATACCCAATAGACTATTATTTTGAATGAGCGAATCATTTTTCTCATTTCTACTAATTTTAAATACAAGCTTGCAGACATTGAGCAGATTCTTTCCACTTACTTTCAGCTGCAGAGAGAGAGAAGAGAAAGAAGAGAAACAAAAATCACATGTATATTTTGGGGTAAAAGAAAACATAACTTCTAAAATATTAAGTACATCATAGTAATCTTGTCAGCATGTGGACTTTCTAAAGTTCCTGCAGAAGGTATTGACAAATAATCAGACTGGGCCTGATCTGGGACCAAAGTGAATGGTGGTTTTACCACTGACTTCCATAGGACAGAATGAGGTTCAGAGTTCAAAAGTTCTAACACCTCAATATTTAAAACAATTTAAGAAAATTTAAACTACACTACTCTTTAAAAAAATACAACTCATGCTACTTGGGATCAGTTTTTAAAAGATTTTTATCTGACCAGTTTACAAGGTTTTTTGTTTTAATCATTCTTATAGCATAGAAAAATAATCCCTATCTCTCTTTGTTTAAGCAGGATCCACCGTTTATGCAATACAGTGGCCACACAAAAATATGAGAGCTCTATACTAGAAAATAAAATATGATATGAAAATGTACTTCACCATGAAAGATGCCCTCAAACTTCAGGGACTATATTAAACAGTTAAGTTCAAGAGGAGAGAAACTTGACAAGAGAAGATGATCAAAGGAAAGAATGTAGGAAACTGTAAAACGGGAACTGAAAGTTGTAAAGATACAATGGCAACCTTTCAGTGTTTTTTTTTTACTTTCTAATGGAACTCCTAGAATTAGGGCAATACAAATTCATTGCACCTTTGGCTAAAGTACACGTGGAATGGGAAGATCTGGAGAGAATTTTGGGAGTTGGTGTACTGGATAATACTTCAACAGCATTGGGGAAATGACATTTTGTCTATGTCTAAAGCGATTAATATAATAACTCGCCGCAAAAAGGAATATTGTTCTGTGATCTCAGGAGAGGATTATGCAGAAAAAGCAGCAGCAGTACAGGGAGGGGATGGCCCCAGCCCAGTAGAAGAAAGCAATGTGCAAAGCAGAGGAAAGCAGCAAGCATACAACGCTAAAGAGGGTGGGGGGGGAGTTATCCACTGTATCTGTAGAAGCTGTTCAGGTTGTCAACCACCAGGGTTTTGTGGGTAAGCACAAAGCAGACCCCATACTAGAAAGCATCTGTGGATACATACTCGAGGGGAACCCAGTGAGGGGAAACTAAATTTAGCAGATAAAGAAAACACGGCGTGATACAATTGAAGTTCCCAGTTACAACAATGCTGAATTAAAGGATGGGATGGGAAATTGACTAAACTCTCCTTAATCTTAGTAACACATTATGCAAACTATTTCTGTTATGTAAGGTTTTGAACTATATTAATTATAAGGTGTGACCAACAAATCAAAATTTTTTTTTTACTGGGAAAGTTATGATGCAAGGTAATTTAACTTTATTTTTGTGTATTTACTAAAAATAAATTGTTACTAAGTATTTGCCCCTTCTCTCTAGTTAGCTGTTTATTGCAAAAGCAAAGGTAATGATGCTTTTACTTCATTTTACCATTTTCTGAACCCACCACCACAACACAATTCTGCTCAAGCTTCCCTGCCCTTGCAGAGATTACACAACAGGAATGTAATACTCCTATAAGCAGTGACATGCTGTTTCATGCTTGGATCAGAGGACTCATGACATTACCACTGACAAGGAAGTAGAGAATTTCAAAATCACTTCTGAAACTACATGGGAGCACAAGTATCATTGTCTTACCACAACAATGACCGCGTTCTCTAGTTTGAGTTGTGCTAATAATTCAACATTTAGTTTTCTATTATGTTTAGACTGTACAATCCCACACGAAATCTTGGATAATTACTCTGCTGGCTAGCCCATATTGAAGCCCATGCTGCTGTAACTTTACTGCTGTGATGTCCAACCTAGCTAGATTTAATCTAGCTCAGATATGTCTACACAAGTTTCAATCACACAAAAGTAGATACATCCTTAAAGTATGGAATGCTAAATTAGATAAAAGTTTTCAATGGCACATACAGTATACATGAATCACTGCACTCTTTCATATCACTAAATAGTTTAAGAAAAGACCTACAGCCAGAATCATTCTTGCCAGTTTCAGGCCAAGTGGGTCTGAACCAATGTCAACTAGTTTATATAATATCTTCAGAAGCGCAGTTCTTCTTTTAAATCTCTTTCCAAACATATTTCCTTCTTCCAAGGCTTGATGGAGACTGGTGCAGGCAAGGCAGAGGTTTTCTATATTGTTTTCTATTTGTGGGGATGGAGAGGAAAATAAAGTTAATTATCAAGGCCATCCATTCAATCAACAGTTACAGACAGAACACCAAAAAGAGAAATGTTTGCAAAATACTACACAAAATAAGGTATCCAATCAATTTCATAGTGTTCTGATACTTTAATACAAGGGTTTACAAGCATTTTTCATACATCAAATCATTTTTATGTTACTCTTTTTAAAACAATAGCTCCTTATAAGCCAAGTGATTCATAGAGCCAACAGCAACAAGACACATCAAAACATTTGAGGATAAATCTCAAATGAAACCTTTTTTAACTTGTTAATTAGATTGACGAAATATCAACTAGGACCACTTAACCTGTGGTGAAGCTGGAAGAATTCATTAAAAAGAGTTCCGTCAAATGCTACAGGCAAAAAAGGAACTGAGAGCTGAAGAAAGTTATTGTGTCGATAAATCCAACCCACAGGCAGTCATATGCTTGCTGTTGTATGGGCTTCAAAAATAGATTTATATATGAGTTTTCAGAGCTCTTACACACACCGTAGAGGTTCAAGATGAATGCAAATGGATGTTTAAACAGGCATCCCATCTGCTACTCTGAGTGCCTCTGACATCATTTAGAAACAACACAACAAAAACAAAACCTGCATGAAACTACTAGAAAATCTTCATCCCTACCACAACCCAATCACTCACATATAATCTACATTAAGAGAAAATAATTTACATGTCTACCTTCTAAACATTAATTTTCTGTTTAAATATTGGATTTTTCCCCCCTTAAGGTTACATCCATTTAGTATTTAAAGTATATCAATGGCAGTACTTGAAATACAATACTGCCATTATCCACATGTATTTGCACAGGTTGCATTCCTCAGTAGAGGCAGAGTAATACACCAGTAGTTAGCTCAAACAAATAAAAATCAGTATCAAATTAGAAGGAAAAACTCATCTGAACTTCTGAGGCTTACCAAATTGCCCTATGAAAATGGGCTGGCTGGGTAGATGTTTTACAATATTTTTAAAGGATAAAAGGTACTCTTTTTCTATTTCAACTGCTAAAGAACTTTTAAAAATACAATCAAACCATACAAACTAGGACAGGGGAGGGCAAACTTTTTGGCCTGAGGGCCGCATCGGGTTTAGGAAATTGTATGGAGGGCTGGTTAGGGGAGGCTGTGCCTCCCCAAACAGCCACGCGTGGCCTGGCCCCTGCCCCCATTCCCTCCCCTGCTTCTTGCCCCTGACGCCCCCCCCCCCCACCCCCCCCGGGGACCCTCGCCCCACCCACCCCACCTATCCCTGTCCACG